ACTGCTGCAGCTCTGCGTACAACAAGGAGAAGCTGATTCACATCCTCATGCCAGCAGTTTTGTGATTAGAACGAGGAGACGTTGGAGATCCAGAAAAGTTTTGTGAAGAAATGTCAGGGTGCTCGGAGGAGGAGGCAATTCCCTTTCCTCTACGAGACGCCCGAAATTTCTGAAGGTAGTTGTCGGAGGCGAACTGGAGAAAGGGAAGGAGGCGGTAATCCGAAGGGAATCTTGATTTCTACTATAAGAATATTCCTTGGATTTCCTCTTGTTGCTGCGGAGATTGGAACATGCTTTCCATTCCTGGCTTGCGGAAATAGAAAGGAACCCCGATGCAGAAAAAGGAAGGAACCTGCAGAATTGGAAAGCTAGAGGAATCTGCAGGCGACAAGTGGTGACGAGAGCGTTGTTGCTGGAGAAGAAGATCTCGATCGATCTAGTGGCCCATCAGAGTACTTGGTGGAGGCGATCAATGAGGTTGATCGAAGCACACAGAGTCGTAGATCCATCTCACCCGATCTCCCCACTCTGTTTTATCTTTATACCAGCAAGAAATGACGGAGATAGCCTCATAGTCGGATAGAGCGGCATAAGGGAAACAACAAGTGCGCTCGGAGGTCTTCCGTACTTAACTGTCGGATGATCTGCAAGCGATTGCCCCTGAAACTCCTAAATGGGAATGGATTCCGCGAGCACAGTAGAGTTTCCAAATCTCTTGGGAAGAAGATTAGGATCGAGGTCATTGTCAAAATCAGCAGCGCAGAAGGAGATGCCATTATGGGTGAAGTTGATATGCTCACAACAAGTCTAGGTGAAACTGACGTAGAGTAGAGTTGCAAGGGGTCTAGAGAAAAATCATTATTCCCCTCCATTTCTGCATAGAGGATGGCAGGAAGGGAGTCCGACAATTCTCAAATGACGGTCGATGGCTAGAGTACGAAATTATTCTCTGATACCATGTTGAAATTTAGAATAATGCTGAATAAGGTGGAATACTTTGGAATTACTTAATTTCATTGATATGAACGAGGTTATAAATAATCATTACAAGAATTCTACCATAAAAAAAATAATAAAAATGAAAGTTATATCACATGATATCTCCAATAATTAATTCATATTAATTATTAGGAGATAATAGGAAATAATATATATAAAAAAATAAGTAATTCCTAATATATAAAAAGAAAATATCTCCTTATATTAAAGAAAGAATTTATTCCTCAAAATATTTTGCGAGGAATAAAATATTTCCTATTATAAGTCTTAAGAGGAAAAACAATAAATCCTGTAATTTAAATTAGATATTTCAACATATATTTATATAAAAAATGTGGATAAACAAATGGATGAACCTCTTCAGTTCTAACTTAAAAAGTCGAATCCCTTTATAACCAATCAAACATAAAATATGAGAGAACACGGGAGAGATCGAGAGAGAAGAGATTGTTATGCCCCAACCAAGGAGAAATCAAAGAAGAAGAAGAAGAGGAAGGAAATGGTAGCAAATATGGGAATTGGAAGAAGGAATCGAGAAATTATCGCTCGAGGAAGAACAAAACCGAGAGAGATTCTAGTGCGGGTGCTTACATAAGAAGTCAACGTCACTATTAGCTGTGAGTTTGCTTGAGATTGATGAAGCCAATGTAGTAGATGTGAAGAGAATGCACGTCAATGACGCAGCGTGCGGGATGAGCAGACAACGTTGCTTGCGGGCGGAAGAATCAAGTGGCTCGTGCAAGAAAGAATTCACGTACTTGCAGAGCAAGGAGATCAACGCCCTAACATGCCAGAAGCCCCTGTACTCGAAGGAAGAAAAAGGACTTTGTGTTTTAGAAGAAAGGTCGCTGGGCTTATGTGCCCAAGAAGGTGGCAGCTCGCTCGAGAGTTTATTAAGGTAAGAATTTAATTTTTTTAATACACTTAATTAATAAATTTTATTTGAATATATATGTATGTATATGTATATATATAT